GCTCTTTGGCCATAGATTTTGCATTGGTGAAATGAGAAAATTGGACTGGATTATTATCCAGGGTCAACCGTGGTTTCATTATTCTACATTTATAGGCAGGTGGGACCAGCGCTTGTGACCACAGCAGGGAGGGGACGTCGTGTCAGCCCTCTGTGTGCATTCCTAGAGCCCACGGCCCCCCGGGACTGCAAGGCTATGTCTGCCTCACTTCGGTTTCCATCCTGGCGGCCCCACCGAACTTGCAGCTTCATGCCTACCTGGCTGCCAGCCATCTCCACTTGGACGTCTAACGGTACATTTCAGCTAGAACAGGCACGAACAGAAGTTTAGATTTTCCCTCAAGATCGCCTCCTTCTCCAGGTCTCCCTCATTGCGGGAAGCACACCCCCAGCTTCCGTATCTTCTGAGCAAAAGACCTGGGCCGCCCCCAGGGTTCCCACTCCCCCCAGCACCCCTCCACTCCGGCCACATCACCTTCCTGCTCCCTGAACGCTACTCCCAGGCTCACTGCACAGGTAGCCGTCTTCACGTTCCCTGCTGGGGTCCTTCTCCTGCAGACAGCAGCTCGGTGATCCCATCCTCAGAGACAGCTTCCTGTGTCTCCCTTATCAGGCCCCCATCTCCACCTGCCTGACCCCTGCGGGACATGATGCCTCTCCTGGGGCTGTTTTCAGTGTCCTGACTCTGGTTTTGGGCAGAAGTATTTCATTATTTGCGTCCACCTCCTCCTCCCAACAGGAGAACCCATTCTCTCAGAGGACAAAAGCAGACCCCAACTCTCTCACACTCTATCCAATCCAGAACGGCAGATATTCATGAAGCAGAGAAAAGAGGGGCTCTGTGGTGGGGCAAGGAGGACTGCAGTGGGAGCAATCAGTAAACGTTCCATGTAAACGACACAGCTGCTACCGGCCCCCTTAGCTCATTCATCCCCTGCCTCAGAGCACACACAGGGCCAGCACAGTGAGGATATTCAACAACTGGCCATGGGGCGGCAGGGGGCGGCCCGACTTTGTAGGGTTGGTCGCTTTCTGTGGCGTCAGCACCCCCAGGATGGCTGTTTCAAGTTGCCAAGGTGATATCATTGGATGGAGAACTGGAAAGAGACATGGGAGCAGCCTCCATATACCCCAGCACAGCCCTCGGCCAGTGGCCCGGCCTCTGCGCATTCAGGCCTGGGCGCGGCAGACACCCGGGCTGTGTCCAATGCCAAGTTTCAGTGAATTAAATGTGTCCCGTTCATCTCACCATCTCTTTGACTTGGGTTAGTGTTCCCAAGCCCTGGAGTGGTTTTGTCACAGAACTCTCAGTGGGGAGAGGATTCAGAAGCTACTAGATTCCATTGAACATGTTCATCCTATAAACACATATTGGACATTTGTTAAGGCAGAGCCACCAGGCTGTGCACAGGGGCTTATGGTGGTCACACAAACTGTGTTCTACTCTGAATGAGTGTACCTCTTGAGAAACTGTCTGACTGCTTAGCCACTCCTTTAAATCAGGGTTTGCCAGTATGAATGATCCTCATTTCACTGTGATTCCTTCTTTATCCTTCTGTCTTCCTACAGTATATCGTTTCTGCCTGACACCTACTTATAAGATGCTCACGAAGTGATTATTTTTGTTCTGAGGTATTTGCTTCCTGTCTCATTCTTTATTGTTGGCTGACTTCCCTCTGACAATATCTGTATCCTCCCATCACCAGTTGGGACTCACTGGGTAACATTGCTTGTTTGATGGCATGCAAAGAAAGAGACAAGATAGCCTGAGTGAAAATGAAGATGGTGTCTTATTGACCAAGAATGTGAGCATTTGGTGAAGGATTTTGGTGTGTTATTGGTGCAAGAGTCCCTGGCTCCCTAGAGACTGAGAAAGTGTCCCAGGTGGTTGAGGTTATCCAAGATGCCCTGCAGATCAGTGATGCCTTCCTGGGGGTTTTTATGTATTCTGAAATATCTGTGTGCGTGATCTTAACAGAGCCTGATCTGAATCCACACCACGTAATTCCACCGTTGACATTATGTTCAGACAAATGGACTCAGCCAGGCAGCAGAAAACACAGATTCTTAGCATAAGCACAATCTAATTTAGAAACACAACATGGTGTGTGTGTGTGAGAGTGTGTGTCTGTGAGATGATTTTCCGGCAAAATCTAAGGGTGTACTTTCATTCACACTGCTGTGATGCTGCAGTGTAGCATCATACTTCAGAGATGATACTAGCTCTTGGAGATCTTTTACTTTATCTGCTTATTTTATAATTGAGAAAACTGAAGCCCAGAGAGGTGAACACACTGAGTCAAGATTAGAACCATGAGCCCAAGGTGTTCATGTATTTATCGCTCTGAACACTAGGTGGCGGACGAGCTCCACCTTCGGATTCCGATTCTGGACTCCAGCAGCTGGTGGAGGGGGGACCAGTTAAAGAACCACCACCCCTTGCTTCTTTGTCCAGCCTCACTGCCTGATTTGAATGACAGTATGTCTACATTTGAGGCTTGCTTCCTTCGGTATTTACTCATACGTAGGGGTAAACATATGTTTTTTAAAAAAATCAAAATTCGTAGCAGTAAATGTTGGGTTTTAAACTCCAGGAATAACACAGGTCTGGTCACCCCCTAATGCACCACGCCTGTGCCTTTCTATTCTCCCACCTGGAATAACTTATCCCACTCATTTTTGTTTACCACCCACGTCCTCATAATCCTTATAATCTCAACCATTTCCCATTGCATGCAAAGTCTCCTGCCCCTAGCTAATGTAGGTGTCTGGCTCCTGGGCTCCCTTTACATCCTGGAAGCCAATGGCAGTTTTTGTAAAATGTATTATTATCAGTTGTAGTCATGGTCTCTTTCCACCAGACTGGGTGGTCCTTGAGAGCCAAGATCTAATGTGCCTCTGTGTTTGCCGCCCCTAATACAGCATTTGGCTCAGAGGAAGCTTGTTGGTTAACTGGATGTATAATTGGATGGATGTTTGGGTATTTAGATGGAAGGAGGGAAGGGAAGAGAAGGGAAAGGAAGAAAAAAAGGGAAAAAAGGGAAGGGGGAGTGAAAGGAAGGAAGTGAAGGGAAGGAAATACGGATAGATGGATGGATGGATAGGTGAGTGGATGCTGGATAGATGGATGATGGATGGATGATGAGTGGATGAATAAATGGATTGATAGATGTATGATATAGGTGGTAGATGATGGAAGCATGCATGGGTGGATGGACAAGTAGATGGAGAGATGAAAGATGTATGGAAAGATGGGTGGATGTTGTGTATATAATAGATGGATGGATAGATGGATAGGTGGATGGATATACGTGGGTGGATGATGGATGCGTGGATGAATGAATGGATGGATAGATGGGTGGATATAGGTGGGTGGATGGATGGGTGGATAGATGGATGGATGGATGGGTAGATGGATGGTTGGGTGGATACAGATGGATGGATGGATGGATGGATGGATGGATAGATGGGTGGATATAGGTGGGTGGATGATGGACGTGTGGATGGTTGTGTGGTTTATACTTTAGCTGTCGAACCTACAGATCAGCCAACTTACCCTCTGTTCCTCTGTTTCCTTCTTGCAGGTTGTGGGCATTTTTGCTGGATTTGGGCTTCTGCTCTTGGTGGCCTCGCCTTTCCTGCTCCTGGCCACTCCGTTTGTACTTTGCTGCAAGTGCAAGTGCAGTAAAGGCGACGACGACCCCCTACCCACCTAGAGGAAGGCGTGATGCTGGAACAAGACCCCACCTCCGGGAAGCGTGGTTCTCTCCCATCCCCACCCCGCCGTCCCCCTCTCACTAAACATGTTTCTTGCCTTATGTGCCCCATTGAGCTTCACAGTGTCACGCCGGATGCCGTGATTTCAGGGTCTGATATTAGATTGTTGGCGGAGGCCCCAGGTGCAGTCATCCCGGCGTGGGGGAGGCAAGGCTGGCATGGGTGGGGCACGTCCCACAGAGGCTGTCTCTGCAGACTTGACAAGGGAGCTGCTGTATGGACCACCAGGTGGTGGTAGACTAGGAACGTCTGGTGTTGCTTAGGAGACCTTCTCTCACAGAATGTTGTCCGTCTCCTCCTTGGCTTCAAGCTGGCGCCACGTTGTTGAGAGAAGTCTTTTAAGGATCGCATCTCACTTCAGACAGAATCCAAGTGTTCTGACTTGAGAAAAGCACTCTGTTTATGACAACTCTTTTTATTACTAATGGCATTTAGTAAAATCCTTTTTAGAAGGTTTTTTTTTTTTTTTTTCCAACTGAGTAGTGAAAAATCAACAAGGTGCGTTGAAACCATCCTATGCCTTTTCTTGAAATGTGCATTTTAAGAAGTTATGGTTAAATGACCTTTCTGGCTCGGCCACTTTTCAGGAGATTTAGAAAGCCTTATGCACTCTTTGTGTTTTTCTTGAAACTTGTGGAGACTTTGGATGCTGTAAGCTGTGTACTCTTATCAACGTGTTTCCTGTATCATTGCATTTCTTTGAAAACACTGATGCATTTGAAGGGACATGTCCATCCTTAGGTTTGCCTTTTGTTTTTCTCTCTCTGGTGATTCAGCTCAGCTCACAGGGCTCCTCTCTTTTCACCCAAGTATCAGTAAATATTTTTTCATGTCTTCAGAAACCAAATGTTTTACTTGGAAATAGTTCTGCTGAGAATCCCTGTGGTTTGGCCGTAGCCTCAGTCTCCTCAAGCAGACAAAACCAAGCAAATAGTGACATTGATGCCCAGAAGGGGGGCCTCCTATCAGGGCTGGGGGACTCCCAGGGGCTGGGGGAGAAGCTTCCGGATGTTCACAGTTTTTGTAATGACTAAGCTAATTTGGAGAAATCATCTTAGTTCCAAATCCTGTTGCTTACCCTGCTGAAAAAAATCTTCCATTTCACTTAGTTATTTGGATTGGTCTTTTACAGGCTGTGTGTGTCGACTACCATGGCAGCAGGATGCCCAGATCAGTAAGACACACGGAACTCCATCAATTGCCTTTGGACAGTGAGTTCTTTACAGAAAGTTGACTTTAATAATGGCTTTTAAAGAGCAAACTGATTGCATCCAACTTGGGACTTCTAAACATAGTAGAAAGGCAAATGTAGATTTATCATGGTGGAACTTTTTTTAAACTTACCAAGCATTCCACAAAGGAGTAAAATGAAAACAAAACCTGACTTTTATCTCAGTTGTTTGCTTGTGGCAAAAAGCACATTTGTAAAGTGTGGTGGTGTTTTATATCCTTGACGTCTGCATTTGTGTACCTGTCTCAGGTCCTGGTTTACCTTCCCATAGAGAAATGTCTTTATTTCTTAACATTTCATCAGTTAGGAGAAACAGGCTCACCTCACTCTTCCCCTCTAGTATTGATTTTATTTTTGAAACTGAAGCCATCTAGGAACCCAGTCTGTGTCAAAATTACATGCAAAAATTCCTCCTTATAATTGCAGTTTGAAAACTCAGTAACAATAAGAACATGTCCGGGACCATCTTTTTGAATGAAGCCTGGGCACCAGGTCTCTGTAGCTTGAGACGTTTTGATCGGCCCTGGAGGTAGAATGGCTTTTCTGGAGAGAGTGACAACTCCAGGAGGCCTGAAGATGAGGTTGGTGGCCCAGGTGTGAGATGGCTTCATGATTTGTGAGTGTGCTTTAGAATTAGTATGGAATACAGCAGGCTCGTGGCCCATGTCCAGTGGTCCACGGAGCAGGCCTTCATCATCCCAGGTCATCCTGCCTGTGCTCGCTACTGCCCATTGCATACAGAGGTCCATACAGTAGTACCCCCTCCTTTGGGGTGGGAACCAGAGGCTTTGGAAAGGTTGCATTCCCTGGGTCAGCGCTCAGGTCCCTTTATTCCTAGCGAGTCGGGCTGTCTTGTCTCTCCTAGAAGAGTCCATGGGCAAATCATGCACATCCAGAGCATCAACCATCCCTGTGCCTTTACCTCTGCTCATAGCACATGGTTTGACCCAGGTAGGGAACACCGGAGATTCTGGCGCCGGCCGGGTACCTACTTGCTCTGAGTTTTTGCATCAAGTAGCACCTACTTGCTCTGAGTTTTTGCATCAGGCATGGCTTAGAGTGCTCAGTCTGATTCAGTAAAAACAAAACTAAAACTGTCTTTTCCCTAGAAAGATACCAGCGGGATCGCATTGAGATCCTTACATAGACTTGCATTGCCCCCATCTGATTCCTTTTCTTTCAGGGAAGAATGCCATCCCGTTGTTTGTGGGGATGCAGTATGAACCAGGCTTGATGTCAGATGTAAACAGGATGTGGGAAGGTGGCCCGCGGTTTGGGTTTTGACCTTTTGGTCCCTCCCAGTAAAACCTGGGGACTCGATGCCTAGGAGCTGGTCTTAATTAAAAATGACACTTTTACAGGTGGTTTTCCTGCTGACTCTCTGGAAGCACACGTCTGTTTATTCATTTAGAGGCCTTTAAATCTGGGAAGGAGGGGTGGAAGAGCATGGAGACAGGACCACGGCTGACTCTGCCCCTGTCCGGGTGGGGTTATCTGAGTCCCTTTGGTAACTGACAACGCTGTGAGGTTTCCCCGGCCGTGCCTTGTCTCTGAGCCTGATCCTGCCCTACATCCTCCAGCCTGGCCGGCCAAGCTCGCCATCATTACAGGGGACCAGCGCCTTCAGAGGCGTCTCTGTAGATGTTCACGGGACAGAGACCGACCTAGGACCTGAGCATGCGCAGAGCCTTTGACAGCACGCATGGCTGTCCAGACCAGTGTCTGCTCCACCTCCAGGGGGAGCTGTGGACTGAGGGACCAATATCCGCCACCTCTGGCATCTTTTTAAAGGGGAACAAATTCTCTTTACAGCATATTATTGCACAAAACGGTTTAGCAACCAGGCCAGTTCCCGGGGGAAGGGGAGTATCAGATATGCAAAAATTACTCCAAGATGATTTTATCTTTCTCTCCTATGTTACAAATGTTAAAGTTTATTTCGCAAATTAGAAGAGAGCATTTTCCCTTGGTCGTCTTTAAAAATGAGAGGATTGGAAAGAACCAGGGTGGGATTTTTGTATATTTCTCAGATTCTCGTTGATTAATAAATACCCCGGGATGTGTATATAAATCACAGTAAAATCATCAAGGGAAAACATTTTGCATGTATAAAGCTTCCTAAAGATCTCTTTAAAAAATGCCAAAGCTTGTTTATTCCTTATCATTAACCCAAGCCCTTATGAAAGTAAACAAAGTAGAGTTATGACTGGTATTGTAAAAAATGCCTGCTGGAAAGAAGGGGCTGCATTGAAGCAGAATGATGGATGCATCCTAACCAGGAGAGCCTGCTGTTTGGGTGTGTAAAGCCCATGGTCTCCCTGTCCTTGGTTTGCACGATCCTGTCTTCCGAGATCCCAGCAGCCTTCAGGGAGGGGTAGGTACCCGACCTTTCCTTCATTCCATTCTCGTTTTACCATGGGTGTATTTTAATCTTGTATAAAAATATGCATGAATGAGTCATGCACATGTATACATTATGTATTTGACAAGTGGTGGTAAAAACAAAACAACAAAAACAAGTTTGGTTTGTGTTTTTGAAATGTCAGTACGTTTTGTGCCACTAACACTGTGATGTATAAAAGAGCTGTTTGAATGCCTTTTAATGTTGTGTTTTGTACTTTGGAATCATATGGAAAAGTTTGATTTGTAATTTCAATACATATTTTAAGTGTATTGTGTCTTATGCAGTTTGTCCCCCCCTTTAGAAGGGATTTCTTTTTAAAGATATTTTGGCTGGAATACAGGTTACTTTTGTAAATCCTGTCTGGCTCCATCTTTTTTATACTCTTAGTTGACTGCTGTCTTGAAGATTGAAAATACTATGAGGATTGGAGGTGGACGGGAAGGGGAACTTCTACCACTGGGGAAACAGGTTTTTGTTTTTGTTTTTGTTTTTTTTTAAGAGTAATTAATATACACTAGGATATTGTTTTGGGTGTACAACATAGTGATTCAATATTTTTATACATTATGAAACGATTACCACAGTAAGACCAGCTACCATTCTTCACTATATAAAGTTTTTACAATCTTTTTTTTTTTTTTCATTGGAGTGCAATTGCTTTACAATGTTGTGTTAGTTTCTGCTGTATGGAGAAGTGAATGAGCCACACGAACACACACATCCCCCCCCCCTTAGACCTCCCTCCCATCCCATCCTCCATCCCACCCATCTAGGTCACCCCAGAGCACCGAGCTGAGCTCCCTGTGCTATACAGCGGGTTCCCACTAGCTATCTATTTTACACACTGTAGTGTATGTATGTCAATGCTAATCTCCCAGTTCATCCCATCCTCCTCTTCCCCGCTGTGTCCACCCTTCTGTTCTCTACGTCTGCATCGCTATTCCTGCCCTGCAAATAGGTTCATCTGTACCATTTTTCTAGATTCCACATACATGCATTAATATACGATATTTGTTTTTCTGTTTCTGACTTACTTCACTCTGTATGACAGACTCTAGGTCCATCCACATCTCTACAAATGACCCAATTTTGTTCCTTTTTATGGCTGAGTAATCTTATTGACTATTTTCCCTATATTACTTTACATCCCTGGGATCTTACAGCTGGAAGTGTGTACCTCTTAATCTCCTGCACATTATCTTGTCCATCCACCAGCCCCCTCCCTTCTGGCAACCACCAGTTTGTTCTCTGTAACTATGAGTCTGTTTCTGTTTTGTTTCATTTGCTTGTTGGTTTTTGTCTTATAGATTGCACATATAAGTGAAATCATAGATTCTTTGTGTTTCACTATCTGACTTATTTCACTTAGCATGATACCCTCCAGGTCCATCCACATACACTGAGGTTTTCTCTCTTGGGAATGTTCTCAACTCTGTTTTGCAGCCAGAACTATCTGGGACGCTGGGAAGGTGAGCCCACTCATCCTCCCGTGTCTCCTTCTCCCGGTGCCAGCCCAGGAAGGCGGCATCAGAAAGCGTCCCAGCCTGGCTCCTCTGCCTACGTCCACAGAGACAAGCACTTGCAAAACTACCAAAGTTTACAAGAGCATCATCAAAATCAGTGATCAACCTTTCACTACTGGGATAAAAAGAATAAATAGGGATTCTGTGTGTTTAGCAGGGGAAAGGAATAGTAACTCTGAGTATTCCACCTTGATTTTCCTTTGCTTCATCCACACCTCATGGAGGAATGTATGTACCTCACTCGTTAACCTGAAATGAAAGGCTAGAAATAGACCGTTAATTACCTGTCCTATGGCT